AGGTCCTGGTGTCAAGGACATGGGCTTGCATCCGCTGGTCCGTCACTATGTAGTCCAGCAGATGTTCTTGCTTGGACCCGGCATGCATCCATGATGTTGTGTGGGTGCGCCGATGCCGGAACAGCGTGTTGGTAATTACAACCCCATGAGCTGCACAAAAAGCTAGCAGCCTCCTACCGTTGTTATTGAGTTGATCTGGCCCATGCATTCCAATCACTTCAGACCAGGTGCCAGCATCATGACCAACTCGAGCAGTGAAGTTACCCAACAAGATGACTCTATCCCGAGGGGCCACTTTAGCCAGCACCTGTGACAGGTCATAGAAAGCATCTGACTCATCGGCCTTCCCTGAATCCCTCTACGGATGTTCGTCTTCGGTGGGGGCATAAGTAACCACGTTTACAGCTTCCCACACCTCACCGCCACGCTCACACGTCTCCTTCATTCTTTTGTTCAGAAGAAGAGCCACACCCTGTTGTTTGGCAGTCTCCTGCCCTGAGTAGAGGACTGTCCACCCCTCATGGTGACAGGAGCCAGAGCCGGTCTACCGGACCTCCTGAATGCCACAGAGATCCGGGCGGTACCGGTTTAGTTCCCGACAGAGGAGTGGCAGCCTCTCCTCCGCAGTGAGCATTCGAACATTCCACGTGACCATCCGTAGTGGCTTGTCGTTGTTTCTGGAGGAGCCCCGAGGGTAAAGATTCAATCTCCTCGCTCCACCAGATGGGGTTTGGCCAGGAGACGTCATACACGCCCGTCTCCCCGGAGCCTCCGGCATAAGCTTATTAGTTAGATATTTTAGCCGTGGTTTAGTGGTAATTTATTGAAGGGTTAGCAGCCCCTCGCACCCGTCCAGAGCCTCCATTTGGCCACGGTGGTGGTCACAGAAGCCATGAGGGGAGAGGCCAATCGGAATTGGCCCTCCCCCCACAGCACTGTCTACGACAGACAGAGAGATGTTGAATCGAACAAACTTAACTCGCTCCATTGAAAGATATTCCTCGATCTTTGCCCATTCCCGGAAGTTGTTCTATTTTCTATATATTTTATTGTGTGGTGTGTACGTGTATGCAATGTGGGATATCGATGAACACAGATATGAACAAGATCAGCAGACAAGACGTCTTTCAAACTCTTTGGTTCTTTCGGTAGTCATGTAGGCAGAAAAAATAAAATAATAAATCGCGACGTTTCACTCGCAACACAAGCGGTCATCCTCAGGCGAAAAAATCCAGACATTGTCGCGGCAGAAGTCACATGAGCTACGGCACGTGACAGAGATAAGTTGCCCCCCCCCCCCCCGTGGCTCGCCCCGCTCAGCTGAGCATTGTTTTAATGCGGTGGGCTCACGCGAAATTGATTTCTGTAAGACGAAGGTAGTTTGAAGCGCACAACTTCATCTGTGACAAACACTGCACTTTCCGTCATTTTCATGCAGGGGGCGCTGCAAACCTACGCGCCCCCTGCATTAATGACGGAGGCGCAGGGACAGACGCGGAATCACTTTGGAATCGATTTGCAGACGCCGGTCTTCTCGCACAGCCAGCTCTGTGTCGCCTCATCTCGATCCCGCGATCTCAAACAGGTGAAAGTCCGCATCGAACCGAATCCCTGGCAAGGCCATCTACTTGACGAGAGAAAATTCACACAAATTGTCGTTTTCAATTACTTCTTCGAGAAGTAAAATGATATAAGCTTTTAATGAAGAAATACAATTATCAAATAAAAAAAATAATATAATTCAAAGTTGTTTTATTTTAAAACTTCAAAACGGAACATCGGGTGCTTGTGTAGTGCCATGAATTTACTCGGACGACAACCGCCTTTCTTCCACCGTCACTTTTATTTCCATCGTTCCGCACACATTATAATTTCTCCTCTCCGCGCTCCGCCAACTCGGACACACCGATTCCCCTCAGCACCGTCCGCGCATACTCCTCCCACACACAGTGGTTCTCTATCTCCTCACACACAGTGTCTCATCCATCTCTTCACACGCAGTGACTTTATCTATCTCCGCACACACAGTGACTTGTCTGTCTATTCACACACAGTGACTCTATCTCCGCACACACAGTGACTCTATCTATCTCCGCACACAGAGTGACTCTATCCATAACTCTCCCTGTACCTATCTCCCCCGTAACTACCTCTCTGCTCACGCTAACTCTCCCTATCGCTATTTACTGTCCTTTGGGTTCGGCTCTCAATCTATTCTTCCCTAACATTTGCCGGCTCTCCTCTTTGCATCTCTCCACCTCTCGCCAACAACTGCCCAACAACAACTCAACTCCCCGTTGAAATCGCCTAGCGTTTTATCCCCTTTCCAATCAGCCTTAATTAATTGCCACGTGGCTCGCTGGCATTTTCCCGCCAGCTCGCACCTGTCCAACGGTCCAGACTTTGCGACGCCGCCACTTAACGCTAACAGCCTCTCGACCAATCACAGCCCTCGTGCCATGACTCCTTTAATTACTTCGGTTTGTTTACGCCACCCGTGACTCCACCACCTTCTCGACCTTATGTGACCCACACTGCTTGTATGTCTGTATGTACTGTATGTGGCCAATTTACCCATGCGTATCTTTTACTCCACTACACTTGCGTGAATGCGTCGTTCGCGAAACTTTTTTCGTGACTTTCCTGGCCCAAGGTCAAAAATGGTTGTGAGGGGCGCCGCAGGCGGTCAGGCTTGCTTCAACCCATGGTTGTGAACATCCAGACGTAAATCGTCAAGGACCATTTCTTGTCCGAGTTCGCCAACATATAAGACGTTATGCAAAATTATTAGTGTTGTTATGGAGAATGTATCTAGATGTGCTCTGCCTTGTAACCGAATACAAATCTGGACCAAAAATGAATTTCAAATGTGCTCTTAAAATTACCTCTTTGCTATGAAGCAGATCAGCAGACACGACATCTTTCATTTATCGATCTCTCCACGAAACAAAGGAATGTTTTACACAAACTACAACTAGTTACTGCACTGCAATATACTGCACCAGGAAGCAATTTAAAAAAAACCGCACCATCTGTTTAACAGTGTATGTACAACATACTATTGCGCCATTCAAAACGAGGCCATTGCATGCTGGCGTCTGTCAAAATTGAGCTAATTCTAAACATAACCTACAAACACAACTGAGATGCCACATCAACCATCGCCCCCTACTGACAGGCTCTTGTCCACATGCAGGCCAGTGCAGGGCCATGTTGTATATATCGGGTCTTGCAAATTTATTAAAAAGTTAACAAAAAATTAAGTGTAAATTTAAAGTATCCGAAATTCATATATATATTATTATTTTATTGTTTCCCTTCAACGTGACTTTACCGAAAGAACTAAGAATATGAATTACTGCAGTCACGAAAGCTTTAAATCAAATTTGTCTCCGAAATTATGCTAATTTATGTAATTATTCAGATTCTAATAGGGTTTTCCCCTTTTTTCTGGCAACAAAACTGAAACCTTTTTACGAGGATTCGTGTCTGCATTAACCACAATACCTGCAGTCAAAATGCACCTGGGTTTTTAAAAATTACTTTTTAAGGCTACTTCCTTGCGTGGTGTGACTTGTGGAAGGCAGCTGCTGTGAGGGGTGAGGGTGGTTGTTACAATTTTTTTGCCTCATACTACACCCCCATTTGATTATTAAATAAAAAAAAATATTTTAGCAGAATTCTTCATATCAATTTTGGAAAATGGCCTAAATATACAACAGCCACCACCTTGTGCCACACAGGGGCAGCTGCTACTTGGGGGTGCTCTTTAATTGTTTGAGATGAGATACGATACAAAACTCCTAATTGCCGAGGCGATGAAGCAAGCACCATATAAATTCAATTATTTTAACATAGTGAATGATTGGGAGCTTACTGGCTCTCGCTCTTGGTTAGAGATCTACCCAACCCACAGGTCCACAAAGACTGGCCGCTCTTACCCTGCAGGTTGAACCTAGGAATTGAGTGTTCAACTTCACTTTATTTTAAAGGCCTGTGACAAAGGTGCATCTATTGGAGCGACATCGTCTCTGGCTTACACATCTACCAGGTCTCCATTTGACTTTGTATTCTCTCGGAGGAAGTCCACCCACACCTCCACTTCCACAAACTGCTGGGAGTTGCCTCGCTCTGCCTCACAGTCAGAATTCTCCTCCTGCTTCACATTGCCTCCATCGATGCGAAGGTCCCATTTTGGAGATGAATCTTCATCTTCACATTTAACCTTCACTTCTTCGCTCTTCACCATCACCTCTTCATATTTCACCATGATACCTTTAAAAGTGTCCAAGCTGGGATTTTCTTCCGGTTCTTGTTTCACGAGGGATGGGCTCATTGCGGTACTTTGACTTTCACATGCTGATTTCAGACTCCACTCCTTGTGGATCTCCTGATGCTTGTGTGTTCTCTGGTGTTTTGGAAGATGCGTTGACTGTGCAAACGCCTTCCCACACACACTGCACTTGAAGGGTTTCTCTCCCGTGTGTGTCCTGTGGTGTGTTTTAAGAGAATTTGACTGTGAAAACACCTTCCCACACACACTGCACTTGAAGGGTTTCTCTCCCGTGTGTGTTCTCTGGTGTATTACAAGAGGAGATGAATGTGCAAACGCCTTCCCACACACACTGCACTTGAAGGGTTTCTCCCCTGTGTGTGTTCTCTGGTGTGTTACAAGATTAAATGAAAGTCCAAATGCCTTCCCACACACACTGCACTTGAAGGGTTTCTCTCCCGTGTGTGTTCTCTGGTGTTCAACAAGAGTAGATGAATGTGCAAACGCCTTCCCACACACACTGCACTTGAATGGTTTCTCCCCTGTGTGTGTTATATGGTGTGTTACAAGATTAGATGAACGTGCAAACGCCTTCCCACACACACTGCACTGGAAGGGTTTCTCTCCCGTGTGTGTTCTCTGGTGTGCTCCAAGAGCAGATGACTGTGCAAACGCCTTCCCACACACACTGCAGTTGAAGGGTTTCTCTCCCGTGTGTGTTCTCTGGTGTATTACAAGAGCAGATGAACGTGCAAACGCCTTCCCACACACACTGCACTTTAAGAGTTTATCTCCCGTGTGAGTTCTCTGGTGCTGTGTCAAATGTCCAGGACGATCCGTGCTGTATGCACGCCAGTCGCATTGTTGCCTTTTTGTACCGAGCTGCGCCGAGTGCCTTAGTGCCATCAGACCAACTCTGCAGAGGAAGTGACAGCTGCAGACAAAAAAAAAGAACATCCACACCATCTACACGTCAGTATCGATGCACAGAGGAATGCATATATACAGTAACACGTGACTTACACGTCTATACTTATTCATAAGTTCATAATATAGTGAAAAAGTTTCCCAAATTCATCACACGGGCTGTTATTGCACGCAATGAGAGGGCGAATGGTTACAAACTTGCCTGGAAGCCCTTGTATCTTCAAAATGAATGTTAACCCAAAACTCTGAGCACACATTTCGGCTGTCTGGCTACAAAAGGAATATTTATGAAAGCTAAATTCAGCTGACAGAGCAAAGGGTGTTGAACATAATACTATTTGTGTTATGCAGAAATTAATGTTCAATAGCAACTTAGAGGTGTGAAGCCAGGCACAGATGTCCTTGAATGCTGGGATGAACAGATCTGACTTTAGCTGCATGTGTGTGCTGTGTTAACTTCCTGACTGTTTCCATGCTTACAAAGCGTTCCAGAGGAAAACAAGGAGAAACTACTGTTTTGATATAACCTCCGCGTTCAACAGAGTTAATAGACTTTACTGCAAACACAAATTTTACACTGTCACACACTGGCATGGTAAACACGTGGTGGTGTGTCCAGACCCATGCCTGGCCACCTTCATCCGCTCAGTATTAATGCTTCCTCACTCCACCAAGTAATTCATTGAGGATCAATCAACATAGCCGAGGCTGCGTGTCTCTCTCTCTCTTCCCGTGGTCGTGTGGATTTTCCTCCGGATCCCCCGGTTTCCCCTCCACATGTAGAGAGTGAACACCGCCACGCGTCTAGAGTGAACACCACTAGGTGTCTAGAGTGAACACCACCAGGCGTCTAGAGTGAAAACCACCAGGCGTCTAGAGTGAACACCGCCACGCTGTTGACAAGCCTCACCTTCATAATTGTTTTTTTACCCTTTTATCTGGCAACAAACTGACACCTTTTTTACAAGGAGTCACGTTTACATTGACCACAATACCTGCGGTCGGAACGCAAACAAAAAAAAACTCTGATAATGTATGCACTGTCCTTGAAATTCATTGGTCCACACCCGAGACAGCTTTCTTTAGAGCCTCGTCTCACATGGTGTTGGACCAGAAGACGCCAAAAGGCGCACAACTCAAAGACAATGCACCATCAGAGTATGAGAGGTCGGGGTTAGCATTTACACCATTGGAAACCTCATTTGCCAGTAACAAAATATAATTGTTTTTACCCTTTTATCTCTGCGTTCCGATCGCAGTTATTGTGGTCAATGTGAAAATGACTCCTTGTAAAAAAGGTGTCAGTTTTGTTGCCAGATAAAAGGGTAAATAACCAATTATAATATTTAAGCCTCACCTTGTGTTGTGTGCAGGTCGCTTCTGAAAACAAGAGCGTTATAGCAGCTCAAGCGGGCTGGGCCTGGTAAAAAATAAAAACTGTGTGAATATTATAAGTAAAACAAAGTTACAAAGTGGCGAGCCGTGTGAAGACAAATTAAACTTAAGCGAGATAATTGAAGCAAACGCGATCAGGCGAGGACAGGAGGCAAGGCCCCGCGTGGATAGGCCCCACGTTGTAAACTTCCAACCTGGACATCGCTTCCATGCACGCTGCTCCACAATTGGCATCCCTACGAGAGAGAGCGAGGCTCTACCTCGGTAAACTACAACAACCACAACCACCACAACCGCGATGAGAATTTCCCACCTCGGATATCAGTGTGCGGTCGGAGCGGCAACTTCCTGTTACGTCGCGACGTCACGCGGCAGCAGGAGGTGACATGACGTCACTATCGGGTATTATAACACTCAACGATTGGCTCCGTGATTTAAATAAATTATGTTAATGAACTTGCGCGTTCGTGGAGGGATGGGGCGTGGGTGCCGAAACTGTCACAAAAAACTCGCGACGGCTTTCACGAATACATTAGGGTTTAGGGTTAGGTTAGGGTAGGGTTAGGGTTTAGGGTAAGGGTTTAGGGGTAGGGGTTAGGGGTTAGGGTTAGGGTTTAGGGTTAGGGTTTAGGGTTAGAGTTAGGGGTTAGGGTTTAGGATTAGGGTTTAGGGTTAGGTTAGGGTTAGTGTTTAGGGTTAGGGGTTAGGGTTATGGTTATTAGGGTTAGGGGTTAGGGTTTAGGGGTTAGGGTTAGGGTTAGAAGGGTTAGGGTTAGGGTTAGAAGGGTTAGGGTTAGAAGGGTTAGAAAGGTTAGGGTTAGGGTTTGGGGTTAGGGTTTAGGGTTTAGGGTTAGGGTTAGAGGGTTAGGGGTTAGGGTTAGGGTTTAGGGTTAGGGTTTAGGGTTAGGGTTAGGGGTTAGGGTTAGGGTTAGGGGTTGGGGTTAGGGTTAGGGGTTAGGGGTTAGGGTTAGGGGTTAGGGGTTAGGGTTATTAGGGTTAGGGGTTAGGGTTAGGGATTAGGGTTAGGGGTTCAATCACCTCTCCAGCAAAAAATCGGATCCACACACCGAAAAGATAGACGTCAACAAAGTCGTAATTAATCGCAGTAACAGTTCCATTTCTGATGGTCTGAAATCCGTTTTAGCTAAAGGTCTAAACTTTGCTGTCACACCGAGACACTTACCGGTTAATGATATCATTGCCCATGTCGACGTTGCACTCAAGGGCTTGAGTCACATCTCTGCAGACGTAGCAAGATCTGAAATCGCTGCAACCCTCAAAAACGCTAAGTTGCCACCCAGCAACATCAGCAAAGACGAACGTTTTGAATTATCTCAATTAAAAAAGAGGGATGATATTGTCGTCCTCTCAGCCGACAAAGGCAATGCCACTGTCATCATGGACAAAACAGAATATAACAACAAAATTCAAGAACTACTCAACGATGGCAGCTATACAAAAATAAAAAGAGATCCCACCAACAGCCTGGTCACCAAAACGAACAAAATCATCTCTGATTTAACAGCATTAATTGATGAGATCAAGCAGTTCTCGTTGAAACCCTCTGCTGCCAGACCACCAAGATTATATGGCCTTCCAAAGATACACAAAGAAGATACACCCCTTCGTCCCATTGTCTCTACTATCAGCTCCCCCACCTACAAACTGGCACGTTTTCTTGCTGATATACTGCGACCTTTCACTGGAAAAACCACCTCTGCGGTACTAAATTCTACTCACCTGGTATCGAGAATCAAAGGCATTTCCCTGTCCCCAAACGACCTGCTTGTCAGTTTTGATGTGGTGTCCTTGTTCACCAAAGTCCCGGTACCTGACACCATCGCTATCATTGAAGACCTGGTTCATCAAGGACTGCATACTGATGTACCCCCCCTGGTGAGACATTGCTTAACCAACACATACTTCACCTGGAATGGAACTTTCTACAAACAAACTGAGGGCACCCCAATGGGCTCCCCCCTATCTCCGGTTGTAGCCAACGTATTCATGGAAAAATTTGAAACTGACGCCATCCAGACTGCCACTCTACGCCCGACCTTATGGAAGAGGTACGTTGATGACACCTTTGTCATCTGGCCACATGGCCAGCCTGCTCTAGACCAATTCCGCGACCACATCAATTCCATACACCCAGCCATCAGATTTACCATGGAGGTCGAAAAAGATGGCAAAGTACCCTTTTTGGATGTCTTAATTAAAAGGAGACATGATGGTTCAATGAGCCACTCTGTCTACAGGAAAGCTCCCCATACAGATGCTTACTTGAAACCGGATTCCCACCACCATCCATCCCAGAAGAACTCCCTCATCAAGACTCTATACCATAGAGCCCAATGCATTTCCGACCAGGAACACATTACCAGTGAACTCAAGCACGTACACCAGGCTCTCGGGGCTAATGGCTACTCCGACTACACAATCCGCAAAGCCATCACTCCAGTCATGAAGAAGGATCCTCTTGTGGAGCCACTCAAAACCATCACCTTACCCTGCATTGCAGGGGTCACTAAAAAGATCTCCAAAATCCTGAATAAACACAAGATCCAGGTCCGATTCAACACAGTACATAAAATCCGTGATTTAGTTCCATCTGTAAAAGATGCTGTTCCAGACATACAGTACCCGGGCGTTTACAAACTAAAGTGCCTCTGTGGTAGTAGCTACATTGGAGAAACCAAAAGACATATCTCGGACCGCATCCGCGAACATAAAGCAGACTTGAAACACGGTAGGACGAACTCCTCTGCCGTGGCAGATCACTGTTATAATTCAGTGGGCTCACATGACATTGACTTCTCCAAGACGGAGGTTCTTTGCAAACCAACCGGCTACCATGAGAGATTCTTTCATGAGGCCATTCACATATACAAGCACAGAGACAATTTCAACCGAGAAG